TTAAACAGGTTGTTCAAAAAATAAAAAAAATCCAATCCAACAGTAAATACGCTGCTTATCACTTTATTCGTCTGGAATATAAATTAAGGTATTGGATTAAAAACCAACATAATTTTTATTAATAACGTCACACGATATCTAATATTAGTTTCTTTTTATTTAAGGTACAAATAATTGACTAACACGAGAATCCCAACTACCTTAACTAGAAATCGATTTATTTAAGACTCAATCAATTTTGCATTGATCTACAACATATAATTCAATACAAGATGAACTTCGAAAAACTAACCTATACGTGACAAAATCGATTTACATTATACAGAAGAGACAACTTTCTTACAATGTTGACATGCTTGGCAGCAATATTGAACGGAATTAAATGGTACAATAGACAAGATTTCAACTTTTTTTTTTATTAGTGTCCAGTCCAAATCCACCTCACCACACATATCTTATGTTCATCCTACAAAAAAGATTGAGCCCAATCTCAAAACTGAGAATCTTATGTACAAAAAGAAACAACGAAGAGACATCCTAAAAAAAAAAAAAACAAACTTACCACCAAAAGATACCTTTAGCTTACGCAGAGGATTTCCTAGAGTTACATTAATGACTTTCTGGCAACCTACAGCAACATAAGAAGGCAAGCAGTTATAGAAAGCAAATCGACATTCAGCATGGATAATTTCATTTTTAGGCTACTTCCTAAGTGCATGTTCTCACGAGAAAGAACTGGATATCGAGCATGTTTGACAAAAAAAAAAAAATCGCTATTTAATAAGTTGGGGACCACAAATCTCGTGAATTTTGATCCACACAATTTGTGGGTCCCAGCTCATAAGATAGCAATTAGTTTTGCCAAACAAGCTCATCATCAAACCAATTCATGGAACTACGAATCATAAAACTATTTTTTCTTTCTTCTTTATCTACTTATTTTTACACTGGAGTACACTCTTCATCAACATTCTTCTACACATTTCTTAGACCCTTTCAAGTTTATGTTTTGCAGAGAGGATTAGATCATCTCAACGAAGAAAAAGAAGATAAAATCATTTTAATCATATTGTCCAGCCATGTCGAGTACAGTGCAGTCAACCCAACATGCACCATGAATATCACAGCTTCATATGTTCCATTGGAATTATTACTTCATTTCAGAAGATTGATTCATAAAACTTACAAAAGCAAAGTGAAATTTAAATAGACAAGGAAATCTAGAACAACATACCGCCATGGAAATTCACTTGTATCAATCCCAGCTTGGTGAAGCTCGTCAACATACTGAAGTGCTTCTCGGCATTCCTCCCTATCATCAAAGAACTCCTTCTTGTCACCTTCTATTTGATGTGTTTCATGGCCTTTACCAGCAACAACCTGCGGCAATCGTCAATGTAAATGGCAGAAGATTGCAGTGACAAGATTTTTAGCAGATAATCATTACCACCTTCTAAATGTTTGAATAAATATGAGAAAGGCATTACGGTCATTGAGAACTTACAACCATATCGCCTTCCTCACCCATGGCAACAGCACACCGTACGGCAACTCGTCTTATATCATGCAGAAAAAGCCTATGCCCATTAGAGAGAGGTGGATAGTAATCATTCTCTCCATGTTTCAAATAATCCTGCATTGTCCATCCTACACCAGCTAACATGTCGTCCAGTATGTCCACTGGTGAAAATAAAATGACTTGGGATCAGTAATATACTTCTTCAGCATTCAAAGAAGAAAACACTAATTTCAGTTTTTACACGAGCACTGATGATATCATTGTACAAAAGAGGAAAAAAAATGAGGATAAGGAACTGCCTCTTTGTTAATAAAATAGTCTACACTTCTTTTTTAATTTTTGGTGGGATGGTATACAGAGTGACACCAGTCCAATATGAGTAAACTAGTCAAATAATTTCTGTTTTCTAAAATTTTGGGTCAAGATTGTGATACACATCAAGAAAAACATTGCAAATGGTGCACAGCCATAATTTATCAGAATATAAAATATGTCCAAAAAATTGAACCTTAGTTGAAAATTTCTAGAGAGCTAACGAAAATACATTACTGGATTCAGTGACATGAGCAAAACATATCCTGAAATACTTACAAGGATCTTCATTTTTTGGGTTGTCTGATGTCAAGATTGTAATGTCACTTTTATCAGTTGCAATTTTTGTCATCATGGGCCTCTTCCCTCTGTCACTCTCTCCAGCACAACCAAAAACTTCAGAAGGCACATAAGAATCAAGTCAAAGATGAAATAGATAATTCTCCACAAAA